AAAAATTATGGTTTAAAGTAACTAATTTTGGTAAAATATGTTAGACTTACCTTCTGGACATCTTGTTCTCCCATTTATTAATCTTCATTATAACAGAAATCAAGTGACTTAAGCTGTTCTGAAGCACATTGAAGTTGTTAATTAGTTCTGTGAATGACCATGTGCTTGTTGTGAATGGGGTCTCATCATTAGGGCTACTCAAGGACAGCTCATCTGATGTTTCCTGTAATTACACAATTCTCTTGTTTAATTTTACCATTTTTAGTGTTTACAATGCCAACTTTTTATGAACCTTTGTTATTTTATAAAATATGTATGATATCATAATGGAAAAAGCATAAAGAAAAAATAATCTATGATGGTGCAAAACCATTTAAAAAATCACTATGTTCAGCAATAATCCATCCCTCATCAGAAAAACGATTTTATCTTAAGTTGTCAAAATATTATAGCAGTCCAACACTTTGAAATTGTATATATTTTGCAGGATTCCATATCTAACACAATGTTCATACAACAAATGTTCTTATTTGCCATAATTCTATATGTGGAAAATGTTATTATGTTCAAACAAGAAACGTTTTTAATAATAAGTTAGCAAACAACAATTTATAAGCATAATGAAGTGATTTATTTTGGGGAAACATACTACATGTTTTAACGCAGACCATACGTAAAGAAGACAGACCAATATTCTCTTGAAACATGTAGAATGTTCTCCTGAAATAAATCACTTTATTGTATTTATAAATCATTGTTTGCCAACTTGTTATTATATTAACACAATGTGTTTCCTTACTCAAAAAAATATTTTTATTTTACATGATTTAATACCTAACCAAATTTTATTATATATAAACAGGAAATGTTCATGATTTGAATGATTCCATGTCCAGCCAAATGTTTTGTTCAAACAGGAAATGTTCTTATTTTGCAAGATTCCACATTTAGCAAAATGTTATCTTACCACTGAATATTCATTCACATTACATAAATTTTATGCATGAACAAAACCTAATCAGATCAGGATTTTTATGTTATACACCTCTCATCTTAATTTGAAGAAAATCTGGCAAGAAGATCTTGAGATTTTATATTCACAGGATTTTTTCTGATGAACAGAGTACATTTTGGAACCCCCTGAATCAGCAAGTGGTGGGGAGTAAAATATTGTATAATATAAAGTTCTTTATATTTATTTCAGTAAATCTAAAACAACTATTTTATAAAAAATTGGTTAATGGACAGAATTAATGCTACTACTTATCTTGTTATTAATTTTTGTAGACCATTTTTGCTTGTCATAAACATTTTTACAAACCTGAAGATAAGCGGAAGAGTGATACTAACACTAGTCTGATTTACAAAAAAGATGATAATCAATGACTGATACTTACTTTACAAGTCTTCATCAATTCTTCATCCATTAGATAATCATAGTCAGATTGAAGTGCTTCCCAAAACTCATCATCTGATGCAAAAATGGGCTTTGTCTTTTCCAATTCTCTACATGACCAAGCTGGCATTGATTCAATGCTGTTTATCTTTCCTTGTTTTTCATCAAAACAATGGGAAGTCCTGCATGCATCATGGTCTACCATGTTGAATGATACTTGGTTATTTGCTGAATCACATCCTAGTAATAATTCATCAGAAACAAATCTGTTTAGTGTTTTAAAACTACTTGAATCCCATAAATCTGTTCATTATTATCTTTTACAAGACAGTAAACGTTTTAATAAAAGTTTAGAAAAACAACCTTTACACTCCAAATAAATATAAAATAATATTTTACTATCAAACAGTTGTTTTTATTAACCCTGATGAAGCCGCAAAGGTGAAACATTGATTGAAATAAAAAATATATTCTTTTATATTCATCTGCAGTGTAAAGGTTGTTTTTCTAAACTTTTATCAAAATGTGTAAATCCTTCCAGTATGCACTACAAATTTTGAAAGACAGTAAACATTTTAAGGCTCATTGACTGGAATTGGACACTTTGGTGAAGCCAAACTTTTGTTGTACATGTGTTTTGTTTTTGAAATAAATAGTTAAAATTGAAAAATATTTCACTAAAGGTAAAAAAAAGCCAAAACACAATAAAAAACATTACAAGAAACATGACTCAAGTGCCTGTATCTTTAGAATATAAAAAAAATTACACGTATGAGTGAAAATGTCTGGAACATATCTATAAAGATACTAAACTATTATTAAAAGTGATCTAGAAATAATTTAAAACATGCAAGTAGGAACTTAAATGTATCACCTCTAAACAATAAAACGTATGATCAAAATGATTATATGGTCATTAATTAAGATATTATTTACTGATTTTTAGAGAAATACAATGTACAGAATAAGATAATTTTAATTACCATTTAGTTGTTGTGTAATGAGACAATATATTTAACATAAACATTTTACTAATGTTTATTTGTTTGGTATTTACATATGACAATTTTAAGTACGTGGATATTGAAATAATCAATGCAATGTACTGATCAGCCATAAAATACAGAATTATTCTAATTATAACTATAATAATTGCAAATACATATTAAATATAAAGCTCACTTTCTGCATATCTCATCCCTGTAACATCTGCAGCGATCATTTGCTGGAAACTATAGAACTTGTGACTATCATTGTCGAAATCACAAGAACTACTCCTATAAGCACAGGATCCATAAGTTGTGACAGTTCCTGAATGTGGTTGGATTTGTTTTCCTAGTCTCTGGGGTAAGTGTGAGTATTTTCCCTTGATCACTGCTCTGTAAGGAATGCTTAGGTGTGGCACTCGCCTCCTCCCTTTATCTGCCAGTGGAGACTGACCAGGATGGAGATACACTGGTATTTTTCTCTCTGAAGTCACTTGAATCCTATAAAATAGATGCAGTCTTACCAGTTGTAACATCCCCAGCAAGGAGAACAAACTCATAAATGTTCTCAATATTTCAATACATACCTTATTAAACACACTAACTGTTAATGTTAGAAACTATTCATATGAGAGAAGTGTGTTATTTCTTAACACATTTATATTTCAACAATTAACTTCAAAATATCTTTTACCTTAATTAAAACATTTCTGTTCTTATACAAGAAAAATGTTACATATTCTTTACAAATGAGAATTTCAAACTCACCTCCATCACTGAATGAGTTAGTAAACAATACCTAACTTTCTCAAAAATTGTTTGATAATTTTAAAAACTATAGTATAAATATAATTCATAACTGATCTCCACATCACTTGCTAGATTCAGGATTATTGAGACCCACATTTCTGACAATCTGCTTAAAAACAGACTCAAATACACGCAATTATTTTTACTGTGAGGATATTATTATGAAGATTTTTAATAGAGAAGTATTAAATATTCTAGTAAGTAATTCGATAAACTTGTTGTTGTGCCAATTTAAAATCAAAATGCTGAATAACTAAGTGATGTCCATTCGCTAAACAAACAGCAGTTCTGAAACAGTTACTGCATCTTGCAGCAATTGCATGGTGGTGCCATCTATCGAATGTTTAAAAAGAAAAACTTTCGAATATTTCAGAAAGAAAATATTTTATCATGACTACAATATAACTTTTATGGACTCAATTAATTTTGATTATCTTGGCTTAAAATATATAAGAAACTTACCTTGGATGTAAAGAATGTTGGACTTTCTTTGGATTGACAAATAACAAAAAATGTTTTCTGTTATTTTCAGAACAAAACAACGTTGTGGCTCTTCTTCTCCTCTTTTCAATTATATTCAAGAGTCTTTTCAGTTGTTTAAAGACAAAGTCCTGATCGTTTTCTAGCGAATCTACGTAGTTCAAGTCTTTTTCTCTCTTTTGTAGTACCAACTCTCCCTTCACGATGGCATCTTCGACATCCTAAAACACATAATCGCAATATTTGTATTTTGTTGTTGCTGTTGTTAATCTTACTATAATGGACGTAGCATGTATGTCAGTATCTATTTATGTAACCAAAACTTCTGCACCATCTACTGAATGGCACCCCAAACAAAATTCCATAAATAATTTCACACTTTGGGTATTCAAGATTCAAACAATTGCAGAAATGACTGTGGTATGTGCAACAACTATTTATTTATAATAAAACACAGTTTTAAATCAAAGTACTCTCCTCACAACAAAAACACGACTTTTACTGGGACTGGTGAGGGTTTGATTAGATCTTTATTGGTATAATTTTTTAATGTAGTCCTAAGAAACTGAAACTCTTAAAAAACTATCATTTCTTCAATAAACTGTACCACTTTTAATATATAAAACATTGCCGTTTATATCAGTAGAACTTATGAAAATTTTTAGCTTTGTACATTGAATCATTTTGATGCAATGAGTTGCTTATGACAAAGGAGCACAATTCGAACACTTTTCCCGTACAGTACTTCCCAGAAAAATAAGGCTTTTTTTATATAAAATGTTTACTTTTTCTGCTAGTAATAATAGCTTTAAAACACGAGCAAGAAATTTTCAATTCACAATTTTTAGTTCTATAAGAATTTATATAACAGTATTTAAGAAGTTTGAGTTTCATTTTTAATTTCTTGATCAATGAGATTGTTTAGATCTTACTTGTCTCCCAGCGTCATTTGAAAGATAACTGAGTAATAAAATACATTATTATGCAGTAATCACAGACATTACAATATAAGATATAAATTTATAAGCACTTATATAAAAAAAGTTGAATTCAAGTAAACGCGCACATCTCAATACAACGAGTATTAAGATTTATTAGCTTTGGCAATTATTTTTGTTCATTCTCTCGCTCCATATTTAAAAATAATCTATCTTTAGATCGGTTTCCCTGGCCCAAATAAAACGAAATTTCTTTAAACACTTCAAAGATTTAGCAAGGCAAAAAACTAGACTTCTGTACGTTTTTGAGAGGTTATTACACTGTGAAATCTTACTAAAAGTTAAACCCGATTTTGTCACAGTGATTTCGCTTAGTGTATAGTCAGTTGTCTGGCCTGACAAGGCCTGATGATCAGGACATTCGACTCATAATTTGCGGGTCGCGGGATCGAAACCCATCGTCGAACATGTTCGCACTTTTCAGACGTGATGGTCAATCCCATTATTCGTTAGTAAAATATTAGCCTAAGAGTTAGCGGATGGTGGCGTTAGCTGGCTGCGTTCCCTCTATTCTACCACTTCAAAATTAGGAAGAGCTACCGCAGATAACCCTTAGGTACATTTGAGGGAAAATTCAGCAAAATAAACAGTTTTTAAATACCCTATTAAAATAAGAAACAGAATAATCAAAGAGAAACAGACAGCATTTAAATGAAAATGAATACAGAATTGAAACTGAGCCACCTGGAGGCATATTAAAACATAAATACAATTTGTAGAACCACAGTTCAACAAGCGTTTAATATGAAAAAAATATTTCCTGATTAATTACTTGCTTTGTTGCTGTAGTTTTTTTTTCTATCATTATAAGTTTTATTTCCTTTTTATTTCACATTTGCTGCCTAGTAGCTCAGCGGTAAGTCTCAAGTCTTATAACTCT